AAACCAGAGGCACAAGCTATGGATACCACTGCAACACATGGCTAGAGACTTACAAGGAGGGTTCCTGGCTCAGGGGTCTTTTCCAAAGTCTAAAGTGCAGGTGATCAACTCAGAAGCCTGGAGGGCAACATGAGTGCGTAACTGAGTAGAGTGAGCGGCTGCAACAGCTCAGGGAATGGTGCTAGGGACCGCTAGGAAAGGTCATCCTGTGAAATGTGATAATTCTGCTTTATGACACAGAGCTCTGGATGCACTAGCCACATCTGCTGACCACATCCACCCCATATGCCAGCAGTTGGCAGCCTCTAGTCTGGGAGGGAAAAATCCTTTCTCTGGAACGAAACTCCAAAGTTGGTTATATTCTCAAACCAGTACCTGTCAGGATAAACATCCCCAACCCCATGTTTTCAGAGACAGAGTTCTGCATTGCAGCAAAGAAATACAAGCTAAAAAGAAGTATAAAGAAGGTGATGCCAGGACACACTCTAAGAATGCTTCACCCTTTCCCAAAAGCAGCACAGTTCGGCCCCTACGGGTACTGATGTTCTCACTGAGCAGCTGACCGGACATGCTGGGAACCTCTGGTCTCCGGCTCTCAGAATCAGGTCTCTGCTCTTTCTCTGTGCATACTTCTGAGTCTGGGCATCCACTGGACAATTTCACAGCAGCAACAAATAATATTTTTGGAACATCAGTGAATCCTGGGGAGCACCAGTGATCCATGTACATTAGTATTAACAAAATACATAGAAATAAACATAAGCATTTATTGAGCTGTTACTATGTGCCAGATACTATTTAAGTCTCTTTACAATAGTTAACTCACTTAATCCTCATAGTAACCCAGAAGATGCCATTACTACTCTCTTTTTACATCCAAGGAAGCTGAGACACATGTCAATGGTCAGCGCTACTTCGAATGGCAGAACTGAAGCTTGTGCTCACCAGTGTGCCTCAGACTGTGCTCATTATGGGTCTGAGATATAGATCTGCTTTCTTTTCAGACACAATGTCATTTTCGTGTAATAGAAATCCTTTGGGCATCATAAAATTTGATAGCAGCCATGTTTCAAAGGTGTATTGGTTATGTATTATTTATGAGGGGTGAGCCAATGCATAGATGAACACAAGAACCATTTAGTAGCCTTTCTTCCCCTCCTATGGTATTAAAGTTGCTATGGTATTAAAATGAAATCTGGGGTGTCCTGGCATGTACCGTGGTAAAGTTAAAGAGCACTTGCATAACAGTACTCCCGGTAGTACAGTATCTTTAAACAAGATACACATGATAATGTTGGAGAAGAATTTGCCTGGTTTTGGAGTAATGCCTCAGTACTAATTCCTGCAGCAATGGCAGGATGCTTCATGCACCCAAACTTAGTGAGACTGAAATTGAAGAATGGGTATCCATGACAAGTTCATGTGTAGGCACTGTTGCAAACACTTCTGTGAAATCAAGGGCCCCAAACAGTAACTAGTATACTCCACCACTATTGGCCAGTAAGGTACTCAGATTTAGGAAAGTACCAAAATAGTCTGGGTTGTTTTTTAAATGCAGTTTTGTAATTTCAGAGGTGTGTTAATAAAACCTAAAGAGGCATACAAGAGTTCATGTGGAAACAGCATGTGTTGGTTAAAAAAATTAAGTCTCCTTTCCTTGGCATGTGCCTAGCCAATTCTTACTCGCTTCTGAGTTGAAAGCAAAATGTCCCTTTGGTGGGATTGATTTTCCTGCTGTCTCTTGATGAGGTTAGACTTCCCTGTCCCCAGCTTTGACGTGCTCCCAAAGGGACCTGCATTTCCCTTTTAATTGTAATTATCCAATTAATTAAATTAAGGTTTGTTAGTACATCTTTCCTTTTTTAGACCTTAGTGTTTTAATAGCATTTATTGACTTTTCCCTATGCAGCACATTTCTAATTGCTTTGTATGAATCATCCTACCGAACCCAAATGGCCACATTCACGGCTCATCTCATTTTCCATATTTTTCTTGATGAGAAAATTGAGGCACAGATCAGCCATAAAATTTACCAAATCACATGGTCAATAAATGGCGGGGCCAGGATTTGAGCAAGGAAAAGGGCTCTTGCATCCATGTTTTTAACCACTCAGGATCATGTTTTTCTATCAGTGCCTGGGCAGTGTCTAGCAAAGCCCTCAGTGGGTCCTGGGAGGTTAACAAGTCTCTGCAAATAAGTGAATGAATGAACAAATGATCTGACAAGTTCTCACCTCACTAAGCCACACTTTGCCTAGCAGGGTGCTGTATTCGTCATGTTACAAACCATTTAATCTGAATGTTGACTGGCATATCAACTAACCCGAGAATTTGCAAAGACCCCATTTCCTGAGGGTCAGCAGTTGGAAGAGTTTTTTTCTTTTGTAACTCTAGAGGAATCCTGAATAGACCTTGCCAAGGCATGAGGAAAGAGACTGGGCCAGATGTAGACAAAGGTGGAGAACTCAACTCACCCATACAGTACCACTCCTTGTCTCTAACTGTGCTTTCTTTCTCTCTTGCACTCTCTCTCTCACCCTCTCTCACTCTCTCAATCTCACTCTCTCTCCAGTTCTTAAACTCAGCATCCCCAGGGAAATTGCATATCCCCTTAGTATGTAATGGTATAGTATGAGTGCTTTAGTGGTCTGGGATTTGAGGGTTGAATTAGCCAATTAGAAGGTTAATACGTGATTGTAGGCATAGGGTATCTGGTGGTGACCCTTGCCCATTTGCCATTTAACTGAATTAGTGTTGGCCCATGACAGATTTTCTGCTTGCAAAATCGCCAGCAAATTATCCTGAGTTCTGAATCTGCATTCTGAGTATATTCCACTTAGCATGTCAGTGTTATGATCGCTTCATAAGTGATCTAATGAGATCCTGGTCTCAGGACAAGGGAAAGTTTTACAAGCCAAGCTGTACAGACACCAGACAATAGCATCCTTCCCCTTTGATTTAAAAAAGATGATGTCAGGCTGGGTGATGACTCTCGCATTTCAGCTTCTCTCATGTGGCTCAGGCAGGCCATACCATCAGCCTCTCAAGATTGATTCTTGCTCCTGTTCTTTGGGGTTCGGTGTATTTCAGAAGGCTGGTATTTAGAGAGAAGCCCTGGTTCCACAGCTTCCAACCTTTTGCACTGTCCTTTGACTTTTTTTTTTTTTTTTCGGTTTTTGGTTTTTCTCCGGTACCGGGAACCGAACTCACGACCTTGCGCTTGCCAGGCAGGCGCTTTGCCGCTGAGCTAAATCCCCAGTCCCTGCACTGTCCTTTGAGTTTGCTGCTAGGGATAATAATGAGCTTTTCTCAACTGTCTGTCTGCAGTGGTTAAGAGTTTGAGGTCTGGAATCAAAGTTTAGTTTCCTAAGAAACAGACATGAAGTTAAAGATCTGAGTGTAGTTTATTTGGAGGGCTGGTCTTAAAAAAAAAAAAAAAACCACAGAGAATGAGGGATGAGGAAATAAACTGAGGAAGAGAAGGCCGCTAATGAAAGGTGAATTATCAAATCAGATAGGCGCAACTGGAGCTCAATTCCACAGAAAGGAGACAGAACACAGGCCTCCAAGTTATCTCATTGAAAGAAGAGGGAGCTGGGGTATTTATGCTCCAGGCCCCATTAGATAGTCACTGAAAGCTGTTCCTGGAAATGTTAATTCCCAAACTCTCTCTACTCGTGCCATATTCAGGTTAAAACAATTTTGGGACATATCAGTCCTATCCCTTGAAGTGGAAGGTTTGAGGGTAACGGACAGGACTCTGTGTGCAAAACCAGAGGACACTTCAACCTAGATTCCAATCCTGACTCCACTTATCTTAATCATAGATCTTGGGCAAGCTTGTTAACCTCTCTGAAAATTCATACCCTTCCTTTATAAATATACATCTTTTTTATAATACATACTTCACAGGGCTGATAAAGAGACTGAAAGAGATTACATATATAGCGAGCTTAGGGCTGTGTTTGCCACGTGATAAAAAGAAACAAAAGTCAATTTTCTTTTTTTTTTTTTGTCAATTTTCATTAAGTATTACCGAACCTCTTCCCTATGCCTGTCTGTATAATAGGTAGTCAGTACAAAGAGGTGAGAAAAAGAGGCAATGCCTATTATTACAGTCTTTGCTTACTGGACTTTAAGTCCATTTCAAATCTAAGTTTCATGTAGGAGAATGTCATATTTCAGATTCCAAAGCATCTGATTTGTTTGGGTGCTAGATGCGATATCCTAAGGATTTGCAAAGGCAAAACCGAGCCTTTGAAATAAATTGTAAATTTAAAATCTTCTGGTAGCCAAATTTACAAAAGTAAACATAAATGGGTAAAATGCAGATTTATAACATATGTATTTAGTCCCACATGTAAAATAGTAATAATTCAGTGTATAATTAATGTAAAATTATTAATTAGATATTTTATATTTTTTCTAACTTAGTCATTAAAGTCCAACTTGCATTTTACACCTACAGTGTATCAGTTTTAGACCAGCTGCACTTCAGGTGCTCAACTGCCACCTGTGGCTCCTGGCCACCATGTTGGACTATAATAGAAGTCTAATGGCCTTGAATTACTTTCAGAAGAAATTCCAGCGGAAAAGTTCCATTTTCTTTTTCTTCCTCTGCATAGATGACAATGCTTCTTTGCGTATGTGAAAGTAAAGTTGGTTTTAACTCACGCATCACAGGAAATTGACAGTTTTTATAATGAAATTTCACACATGGAAACCATGGTGAGATTCTTAGCAGGTGTAAAAATCTGACGATGTTATTTCTTTAACTGCAACTTAATGGAAGCTGCAGCAGCTGTTCTCCTTTGTGCATTTTCCAGATCTCATTGCCAAAACGCGTTGTTGGCAGCCACAGGAGAAGTATCAACTTGCTTCTTCATTTGGGAGATGAAATTAAAACCTCGGCTCCTTTCTAAACGTCACAGATTTGGTAAGAGAGAGCAGGGCCAACACACAAGCCGCTATTAAAATATTGATGGCTTCGGTTTCCTCAGGTGCTGCTGCTAACATCTGCAGAAGATTTGGACTGCACGCCTGGATTCCAGCAGAAAGTGTTCCATATCAATCAGCCAGCTGAATTCATTGAGGACCAGCCGGTTCTAAACTGTAAGCAATGCCACTTGACGATGCTCTTGGACTAGTTTCATATTTAAATTCACCAGTGTCCAGGAATGTGTCTCCAGATATGGTATTTTCTAAGCTGGTGTTCTCTGATCATTTTTCATGCCACTATTTGACCCAGGGTGGAAGATTTTGAACCCAGAGACTTGTCAGCTTAGGGGTCAATAGAATGGTGTGCGTCTCTCTTCAGTATTTTACCATCCAGTGTCTCTCAGAAAAGGGGAGTGCCAGCCTCCATTGTGAGTTCTCCACAATGTAAAGGAAATGAAATCCATTTCCCCTGGGCACACCCCAAGAACAACATCATCACCTTCCTGAGGATTGTGGTTCTACCTGTAGTTTCTCATACATAGCATTAGATCAAATAATGGTGAAAGCATGATATTGGTGGTTGAGGGTTTTTAGACACAGGAAATCACAAACTCTTATTCTTGAATAAGAAAATCTTCAGAAAAATCCAAAGCCCCACTGTTTATTCTGTGGATAAATCTCACATTCCCCAAATTCTAATTGATTTCCTTAAAATATGCATCCCTCAGATCTGTGGTTATGATCTCTTCCTATTTTTAACACCAATATTATATTACTTTACATGCATAGTTTTTACACAGTAGAATTTAAAATCAATGGCAGATATAACCACTTAATTGCAGGCTCTTGAGAGCCATTCTTTAACATTTGGGAATGAAGGATATGAAAACAATGATCTAATTTGGTCAGATGCTCTATGGCTCTTTTAAGAAAGGAGACTGCACACTTGCCATTATGGTCTCAGATTTGTTCCCCAGGCCAGCCACAGGTCTTTATTCTTCATGTGTGTGGCTGGAAAATTTAAAGAAAAAGTACGGGAACCCCACCACTCCCCCGAGTGGATTATCCTGTACACACTGTAGGAGGGGAAAGAAGGTCCTAATGAAGAGGCAAGGGCCAGCATCCAGGGAGCTGTCCAAGGTGAAGCCTAGACACATCCTGATGCAGTTACGCCAATGGAACCATCTCAGTAATTACAGTCTGTCATGACGAGGTGCCGGGCTGGCACGATGCATGAATTCCAATATGTGATTTCCTGGTAATCTGATACCTGAGTGACTCTGGGGTCAGGCCACCAGGAGCCTTCATTTGGCTTTTGATTTTTATATTTATCAGAATCAATATATTTCAAACAGAATTTGATTTGTGAGAACTGTTTTTCTAGCTCTCCTCTCCTCTTCTCTCTCTCTGTGTTTCTCTGCTCACTCTCTCACTCTCTCACTCTTACTCTCTTTTTCCAAGTGATTATCCCAGGTGGCATCTATGTTAACGTGCGTGGAAATGTGAAGCCACCCTGAGTATGGAAATTAATAGAGTTGGTATGCAAAGCAGGTCCATAAATGTGATTGCTTCTGTAATCTTCATGACACCAAACAGCTTTTAATTCAGTGCTGAGAAGCTGGGAACAATCATACTTTGGGGGATCTTTTTAATTTAAACTAGGCCATACTGTACATTCCAATATCATAGTTTTGTGTGTGCCTGACTGTGTGTATGTGTTTAATCCCATAAGTAATTAGGTGGGCTACGGTTGTTGCTTCTGTATAAGCTAGTAAGTGCTAAATGAGACTAAGTTGATTGTCAACGAGCAAATTCAGGAGAAGTCAGTGATGTGGGAATTGTGCACATTTACATTTTATGCTTGTGTGTGAGTTGTTGGTCGGTAAAATCTGATTGCCTCTCAGAGAACTTTCATGTCCACATATATTACTCGGACAAAAAACAAAGAGCAGACCTAGTTAGGTACTTTTAAGTTCATCTCAATCAAATGATTGTAGGTCATTCCGAATATCAACTTTGGGAATAATGGTGAAAGTGCTTAAATGAGGAAGCAAGTTTCCACAGATTTGAGAATTTTTATTGAATATTATTTAGAAAAATCGGGAATGCTAGAAGTAGTGCTTTGCTTTATTCTACTCACAAGAAGAAATTTTTAAAAAATGAATATACTTTCCCACGTAACCCATCTTTTAAGCCAGACACCCTGACTTCAACTCTCTCTACCTTCTGTCTCATTTTTTTCATGCATTTTCTTATAATTTGACACAAAATTCTTCTATTCTGAAACAGTGTGATTAACGGAGACAGTCATTAAGGTTGCATACTCCTGGAATGAAAACCCTTCAGCCACAAGGCCAACATCTGGATGAGAAAGGCAGGATCAGACAGAACCAACAGCTTAAAACTCTCTGATGTTTGAGTTTGCATACCAGAGATGCAGTGAATGGTTAGAGATGTTACAATTACACAAATATAAGTCAATGTTTTAGGTAAAAATGGAGATGAAAAGAAACTAGCTTCGGAAGATCTTGAGCCCATTTATGCTATTTGCACATTATGCTATTTACATATTTTCTTTATGTTTGCTATATTTAAGAGCCTTGCCTACAAGTTCTTGTGAATTTCTGTGTTGCAAAAGGTGTAAACAGAGCATAATCAATCAGCTGATGTCTGCACTCTTTACCACTCCATAAAGCTATCTGAAAGCATTGTCTCTTTGCCTGACAGATGTAGTGTATCTGTTCATACCCAGACTTGTATTCAACCAATTCTGTGTTCAGCTTTTAGCAGGTTACAGGGAATGTTTATTCTGCCCATGGCTCCCTCCTCTCTTTGTTCTGACACTAATGTTTCCTTTTATCCTTTTTCATCTTCTTCCCCAATTCTCCACGACTTATCTTTTTCTGCTTTAACTGTTACTAATGGTCACCTCCACTCCTTTTATTTCCCTAATATTTTATTCAATGTTCACTCTGATACATCTTTCCCTCAGTTGTTCTAAAGCCTTTTATTTTCTTCACATCCAAATAACTCTTTATTCCACTCTCCTCTCCACTAACTAGACTTGCTTTCTTCTTTAAAAGACCATTTTTCAACAAGCTGCTAAGATCAAAACATGGTACCTCACTATTTCTTCTAATGTAACCAGCAGAGCTCTTTCATTGTATTTTTCACAGTGTGATACAAAGCCTCCAACTCAAGGTAACTTGAGCAAAACTTTCTTGGCTTCATCTCAGTCTTGAAAGCAGAGGTGGGAAGATGTGGTTATCTCCCCTTTCCCTGAGAAGTACAAGGAGAATGAGGAAAAGAGTTTAAAGGGCAGTAAGTCAGAAAGAGACACTGATTAGAGGTCTTTGGACTCAGGGTGGAATCAGTGAGGAATTTGTGGGAGGGGTTTCACAGGAGACCCCTGGCACCCAGAACTCTCTCACCCTGGTGTGGTAGCTCTATTATTTTCCTATGGTAGAAAGTGTGTGTGTTCTAGTAGCTGCCATCTTGATACCAGTGCAGTTGATTAACAACCCTGATTGCAGCCTCCAGCTAGAACCCATATCAGAAGTCCTTTAGGCTTCAAAGAATAGTTTGCCTGGGAAACTTATCAGGTACCTGGCCAGGATGGGAACACATCAAGTGATAATCCCTGATCATCACGTGTTCTTTAAAATTGCCAAACTCCCATCAGTCCTATCCTCATCAGTTCAGACAGGCCTTTCTGGAACTGTAGAGATCTGTATTTATTGAGTTCCCTATGGAAAACCACAGCCTCTCATGTCCAATAGGGATCCCCCATTGGTCTTGCAGTCACTAAAAGACTGTACTTTACTTCTCCCTTCATCCCTCCCCATGGTCTCCATGCACACAAATACACAGAAACGCACATGCATAGGGAGGAAGTACAATGCCTAAGTGTACTTGCAATCCAAACTGTATAATCAGGTTTTAAAATAGAGAATACACTGGTCAAAATGGGCTAAGCGCTGCTGTACTATCAACCCCCAGGATCCAACACCAGAAATGTTTGTTTCTCATCCAGGTCATGTGAGTGCAGGTCGGTGGCTCACTTGGGTGGCTCTCCTCTCAGTGTGAACTGTCAGACAAGGGGTCAAGAGAGAGTGTGGGGAAGGTAGCCCTGGTGCTCACCCATCTCAACTGTGAGGTGACATGCATCATTCTGCTCCTTTTCATCAGCAGACCTAGTCTGTAGCAAGAGGTGCAAGGGGCTGTGGAGGAGTACACACAGTCATCCTCTGTGCAGATTTTAAAACAATATATTAGACTCCAGGCAAAGACAGAAATCATTCTCAGAAAAGGCACCTGTCTCCTGTCTATGTGGGACAGAGTTCTTCAGCTGAAGCAGGACGGTGGGTCATCACCCTGACAGGGCACCTCCCACTGAGTGGTGCTGTCCTCCCTGCTCTCTCAGGAACATGGGGGGCAGCCCTGCCTTCCGAGGGTTCTAATAAAGTTGGACCCACTTGCTTCCTCTGAAAGACTGAGGTGCTGTGGATAAGATCACACAGGTAGTTTTGAGCCCACACTGATGAGAGCAAAAATACCTACACAAGCAAACATTAACTGTGTGACAATGAGGAAGAAACTTGAATCATCCAAATGAGAATCATCTCATCTCTATAAGAAGGCAATGGCAGACCCTACTTCTCGAGCTGAACCAGCAAAGGCAGAGAATCTGCTTAGCACACAGTTGGTAGGAAGAGGAGCTGTTCGCAGGACTGTTATTATCATCATTCATAGACCAGTGGTAGATTCACTGCCCTTACCATGGCCTCCGGAACCAGGCTTCCAGGAAGACAGATCATGCTGACATAAAACTCTGAACAAATCAAGGGGCATCTACAGCAGAGGCTCAGGATATTGGACTTCTGGAGAGGTATCACGCTATTCTTCAAAAAGATCTTTGAAATAAAAACTCTACCTGTAAAAACTTTGCTATTCTTGAATATCCAAAAGTTAAGTAAATTAAGGAGAGAGGGAAAGTCATTGTTCACTCTAAGCAAGAATTTCTTTTAAAGATTTGTTTTTTATCAAAAGGGGAATAAAGACTAATTACTGAAGGAAAGGCAATCAGGGCTTTGAGTAAATTGTACTTTGTGAAACGTGTATGGAATGTTCCCACTGACCATAGTTTACCTACAGCTTGAGGAGCATGCTGGTCT